GTTATCGCATGAATTATATTTAGTTGCTAGGCTTTTGGAACTAGTCGACAAGAAACTATCTTCAACCTAGATTTCATGTTATTTGACACTTGTCAAAAAAGTTTCAGATGTTCATCAATTGTAGGAATGCTATCCTTTGTTTATCTATCGTATCCTCATATTCATACCCAATCCTCCTTGTTTATCAGTCATGTACTCAAGGTAAGTAAAAGCTTCCCTCTTTTTTACAGCTTCTCCATTAAGTGTAATTTGTTAGCTATTCGATGTGTTATACTTCAGTGTTTCGCTTTTTCCCTTGATGCATGCTACTGAAGAGACTGCTGCTAACTTGACTGTCCTTACCTTCATTTGTTGCTGTGGATAGGATAGAAGAGCTATGTCATCTGCGAAGTTTAAATCGTCTGAATGCCTCCAATCTGTCCACTGTATTTCGTACTTCCCCTAATATGCGGAGGTTTCCATAATGATACAGTCAACAGCTCATGAAAACAGAAAATCCAAGAGTAATACGTCCATATGCTGAATTTAGAAAAAAATGAGTTTAGTAAACTATCTTTATGAAATAATATAATCATTTTAATGTAAGGAGAATAGGTCACAATCTGATATCTAAAATCTAACACAAGGTACCCTTGATCAGCTAAATCATGTCAATGATGAAACTTGATCGCATTAATTTTCAATGATTTCGTCTAACGAGGACAAATGAAATTTATAATGGTGGTTAGATGTAGTTGACAGGAAACCCTTTTCGACCTAGATTACGTATGATTTGGCATTCATCAACAAGGTGTAGCTATAATTTTGAGTAAGCTGATGCCCCGTGGTGGATTCGATCCCGTATGATCCAACTTCACTATCAGAATTATTATTACACTTTCAATAAGTATGTGTGATGAGATTATTACAAGTTCATAATATACATTACATTCAGGATTAATGTTAAACAGTTTTATTTTTTATTAGAAAAGGGTCTTGTGGAAATTGTAGTGATTTAATAATTGAATTCATAAGTCATTTAAAGCTAGACCACCATAGAAAACCTGGAAGCAGTGGACGATCGTTTCGTCCTAGTATGGGACTTGTCAGCAGTGCGCATCCAATATCCCTCTCGCGAGATTCGAATTTCATGAGAGTTATAGGGTAAAAACCTTACAATTAATTATTACTCTTACCAGATACTTTAGACTGTCCTGTTATCAAATTTTTAACGTTAAGTTGAGTAGAGAATTAATTATTAAATGAAGATTGTAGTGATTATATATACATAATGATGTTAAACTTGTAAATAATTGACATTTTCTAATTAGACTGAAAAGGAATTAGAAAAAGACCAGTTTGTCTTACTTATGACATTGTATAGCATGTACACACACACCCTATTTAAAATAACACAATTAGGAATCATGCACTAATTGTTTTTAATGACCGATGTTAGTACATTGACCACATTTTCCGGTGTAACCATTGATTAAATTAACCGAGATCATGAAAAGACATAAGATAGAAAACCATCAAAAGCCAGTTTTTTTCCTATTATGGGACTCTTGAACAATGTATTTTCACGTTTCCACTTCTAAAGCTGAACTCTTGACCATCGGGTTTTGCGCTCAAACATTTGACCTCTATGATATTGAATTTCGGCCTTATCTTTAAGTAGATTAGGCTTTTGCGTGCAAAACTGAAGGTTGCAGATCTGATTCCCGATGGTGAGTTCATGGATGTTAATTGATAATGAGTCCCATACTAAGATGAAATAACTATCTTTCCAAATAATTCTGGTTTTCACTGGTTACCTAACATAGATCAGTTCGTGATATTAATAATATTTAAATTTTCCACCAAACTTCTATACGGACAAATTTTATATACTGCAAAGTGGTTTTCAAATGTATTTAGAAACCCTCTGCTTTGTATTTTTTTCTAAATTTTTTTCATACACAACTTATGAAGTTTGTATGTAAATCTGATCAAGTTTAATATCTAGGGGGTATTTTTTGAAGATGATAAAGATTATATTCACTACTATTTAAACAATGATGATGAATATTCGGTAACATGGGTTGTATTTCTATTATTAAAGAGTATTCGTTAATTTAAGCGAAAATCAATTGATGAAGTAGTGAAACTTAATCAGTTGAGATGACTGAGACACGTGTTACGTATGCTCAACTGCCGATTGCCCTGACGAGCGATGTTTTATGGTGTAGGAGTAGATTGGAAGATAGTTAGGGGCGGCCAGACCAAAACATGGCACAAATCCATGAAGTCACTGACAAGTGGACTGAACCATGTCGGTAGATGTAGACTACCTGGTTGTGGACTGCGAGATGATAGCAACCGATGATTAGAAACCTTGAATGACATGGCTGAAAATCGTTTGCAATGGTGCAGGTGTATCCACTCTTTGTATTCTCCCAAATTCTAATCTTCTGAATTCTTCATGTCCCTTTTTTTCTCTTTCTAAATTTATTTCACTGTATTATACTCCTTAAATAACATCTTGGAACCGTGATCTTCCCGATTACTGCTTATACTCTTACTACCTCTACCACTATGGGATTTGAATCGACAATTGTATCTGTGTGCTAATGTGGTATGGCAACACGAACTGATGTACGTACGTGCAAAGTTCTACGTTGTTACTGGCTGACTGACTAAGCGAAAACAAAACTATCACTTATAATTATCATTGATTGAAACTTTATAATAATCTCGCTTTATCTTTTTAAAAAGTATATTCGTTGTTAACGTTAGATACTAAATAAATCGTTCTGTCTATAGGTGAGTAATCACTTCTCTTACCGTATATATTAGATAACACAGGTTTGAATACTATATAAAACAACAATTTCTTCAATATTACAGATATGTCTTGGGTGATGAGTGTTTTTTATCTTACAACTTAAGTTCAGAGTTTCCAGTCAACTATTCCCAACTACTTAAAGCTAGATAAAGTACACAATGGTATCGAGTAACTAAAGAAAATCATTGGATTTAAAATCAATTGTTCTACAGTTAGATAAATATGACAAAGATTGATGATAATATGTGATTACTCTTTACTAATGTAGTAATGCTGAGTCGGTTAAATACTGTAAGACAATTTATCTCTTTGATAAACTCATATAACACAATGAGAAAATGAAGATTATAAGAATTATATGAAACAGATCATGAGATTAATTGTTTACTTGGCCTTTATTGTTTTATACAGAAGAAGTCTACGGAAAATACTGAGGTTTTATGAAGCATTGGTCATAAATAAGTTTCAACCTCCCTTATATATTCAAAAACAGTTTGCACTTACATTAAATTTGTCCTAATAATATTGATTTCTTATCTAGAGTGATCTGATTCAAATTGTTTTCAATACTATTTTCGTTAATCTTTTATATTATCAGAAAAGGATTTCGTGGAGATTATAGTAATTTATTAGTTGAATTCATGAGTCAATTAAAGTTAAACCACCATGAAAAACCTGAAAGACGTGGACGGCTGTTTCGTCTTAGTATGGGGCTCCTCAGCAGTGAGCATCCACGATTCCGCCCTGTTGGATCCGAACCCAGTGTGATGTGTGCTACTTATATTGACATAAGTAGTATATGATGTTAGTCAAGAACAGAATGTCTAGCAGCAAAGAGACACGAGGATAGGACAGTAAAGAATGGAAACAGAATGCAATTTGTATGAAAATGCAAGAACAATGAAGTCTTGGCCATTTTGAGACAATTGATGGTCATTTTGCAAATTGAGCATTTACTATTTAGTTGTTAGATTTTATTAACAATTTTTGTAATTTGTTATCAAGTACATTCGATTGTCCCCACTGGTGTTCTGTTCACTACACCCAGGACCTATCGGTTTCACGCGCAAACTCTGAACCTCTTTTACATGTAGATTTGTTTAGTTGACCTTTAATTTTTCCAAAAAAGTAATCACATTAACAAGTAAATGTGTCTTCGAATTGTTTTGAAGTGTATAGCATTACTAGATAATTCCAGCTTTCTCATCATATTATCCAACAATTTATAGTTAAAAAAATACTAAAATATAAAGAAATAAAGTTTTTAAATAAGTTCAGCGAAGAGTTCTCTTTTCGGCCAATTCATTTTCAAAGGTGTACAATCGCAAATATACTTATACTTGTTTTTTATAGGATAATAATAAAATTGATCATAAACATTTGTTAGGCATGGTGATAGTGAGGTTAAATAAACAAAGGTATTAAAAAATTATTTTATAAAGCAAGGAATGTTTAATAATAGTAATAATAAGTTAAATAATCGAACACCTTGTGAACACAGGTCACTCAATCAAGACAGACTCTGTCTTCAAAGTCATCTACGAGGTAAGTAGAAGTCTTCCAAAGACAATTAAACTGCATCTTCTTTGCATTGCCGAAGCATTAGCCATACATTTGGAAAAACCAGAATTGTGTATGCATAAGAGACTGGTACAACCTCTTCTCCTACCATGGTCTCAATTTCCGATAATTTTTTTCTCTTTCTCATACTGTTCTTCCTTTTCAGCCATCTGCTTCACCATCCATCTTCCCCTTGAAATCTTCTACCCTCAACTGGTTTATTTTTGTTTCCACCATCATTCTGATAACATTTAATTGCAATTTCAACATTTTATCTTATCATGATGAGCCATACTTTTTCAATGATAATTTCCCTATCTATCTTTTGATGAATACTTAAACCATTAACAATGAAACGATTATTAGTTTCCCTGTTTAAAATTTTTTTTTAATACCTTTGTTTATTTAACCTCACTGTCACCATGTTCAACTGAAGTTTATTATCAGTATTATTATCATCCTGTAAAAATAAGTATATGTATATTTACGATTGTACAGCATTGAAAATGAATTCGCCGAAAAGAGAACTTTTCGCTGAACTAATCTTTCTTATTTAATGTCTTAATGAATGTATTCCGTTTAATAAAGTTTTTGTCTAATCTCATTTTCTTTCTTTCTTCTTCTTCATTATTAGTGTGCTACCAGTTCATGTCATCGTCAGAATTCAGCAAACCATGAATGGGTACAAAATTTTTGTCAATTAATAAAAAATACTGTACAATTTACATGTTATGTACATGAAGATCATATTAATGAAGCTTTATTACATAAATTCTATGGACCATCCACAATGTTTGATACATTATTTTGGCCATTAATATTATTATTTGTTTCAGGTTTATGCTTAATTATTACATGGTCATTTGATAGATGTCATGTATGGCATGATGAGAAAACAATAATTGCATAATATTAAATATTAACTTGTCATAATCAAAACTGACAGTAGTCTTATAATAAATGAATATTCATGGTGAAGAAGATCAATTCATTTCTAAATGCAAAATTACATAACAATTTTTGGTAAAATATGAAAATCATCCATTTTCTTTGAATTATCTTTTACAAGACTTATTGTTCCTTTATTTCTGTTGTTATAATGATTACTTTCAGTTTCCTAATCTCTCTTCATTTCATTTCAATTTTCTCAACTTTCTACTATCAGATTTTCTAATTCCGATTGGTGTTATATATATATATATATATATATAGTACTTATATTTGTAAACATAAGTAGCATATACTACAGTATATCTTGTAAATAATTATCATTACTAAAATAATAATTATATAGTTTTGATTGAATAGCCTAAGGAAATCAATGAACGTTTTTATTCAATTACAGAATAGAATAGATAGAAACAACTAAATGAGACCTCTTGATTTTATATAAAGTACTGTTATATAATAATAAGAATCATCATTATCATTTAGGGATGAGAAAAAAAATAACACAACTGAATTTGTCAGATATTTTTGATTTATTTTACATTGATGAAGATGTCTTCTATTTCATAGAATACATATTTGTAGTATAAAGTATATATCTTTTCATTTATGATTGCTTAGTAGTATAAAAGATAGATATAATATAAGGAAATAACCGAAACTTTACAGATTTTAATAAAAGAGCTTCATAAGTATGTAAATAGTAATTCACTATACATCAGTAATCTGTATATAGATAGTTGTCTTGAAGTTGAAGTAGGACATTGATAAAAAATAGGTTTATGATATCTGAAGTAAAGACTGATCACCATGGATAATATTGTATTAAGTTTGTGACATATTATAAATTGATTAAAACTAGATAGTATAGTTTATTCTATTCAGAATAAATGGCTGAGTGATCAGTTACACATTATAAATTCTATGCAAAGTTTCATATGTAAGGTTTTAAGAAGTAATAAACCATGATGAATCAGATATCTGTTACTTTGATTAGTACATTAAGAAAAAACTTTGAAGCTTGACGGATTATAACCATATGACATTTATGAACAATCGGTGTTAATGTAATTCTATTTTTTTTTTTTAAAAGACGAATACTATTCTGAACATAAAATCGAAGATGAACTTTACACTCATCCATAGGGGGTTGAATATTAATGATAATTGAAGTGTATTTCATTACAAGGATAATTAGATTGACAATATCCATTAAATTGATAAAAAACAGTATTTAATGTTTTATCCATCATTAAAAAGCCATTTACAAATGTCAAACTAACTGAACAAAATGTTATTTTTGAACTTGTTGCTTGTTAGATCTAAAAAAACATTTCTACCAATGTCAGGATGAAATTTTTGACCTATCTTTTCAAATACATAGCAAATTCTAGCTTACAATTTACATAGCTTTTTGTTATCAACAAATTTGTGTAGGTATCCTGAACTTATAAGAACATAAAGTGGTCTCGCTCCCGGGACTTGACACACAGAATCATCGATCTAGCGCACGAACGCTTAACCTGTAGACCACTGGTCTTGTATCCAACAATGTTAATGTCTAACTCCAACCAATCCACAAAATTAAGCCACCATCCACTATTATCTTCCAGGTTTTCAACGATGGTTTAGCTTACATCGACTCATAAATCCAACTATTAAACTACTGCAATCTCCACAAAACCCTCATTAGTTTCAAATTTTCTTCTGAATACTCTGTATTTATTCTATTTACAGAGTTTTAGTGATTTAGAATTTATAATGTTTACTGTATCAACCTGAATGTAAACATATATTTTATGTGTATAATGCGCTTATAGTCTGTTATACTACAAGCTAAATGGTAGGAATATAAAATAATTCATATTACACAAGCGTATAGTATGATTTATGTATATTTAGGAGTTCTAACTAACAAAATGCTGATACAGTTACATTAAGAGTGAGATAAAGTTGTTTATTTTTCATTGAAAAAATGTTTCCCATTTTTTTAGTGCATAGTAACATCATTATTGAGTTTACTATGAGGTATTTCTTATGAGAATAAAAACAAACTCTTTAAAAACGAATTTACAATCTAAGCAAAGATGGATGGTAGGTAACAGTGGAATTTAAGATATGCGTTTCGATCTATTTAGGACTCTTCAGCTGGATGTACCTGCATCCTAAAGTTGATGTTCTTTTCAGGACTCGAACCAAGTGTTATTCGCTTCAAACGCTATCACCTCATCCACTTAGCTACTACCTGTAATGCTTGTGACTTAAAGTAATATTGAGGCAATCTGTACAGGATGTAAAATATACCAATAAGAGGCTGATTGATTGCAGTTCTAAACATTAATGGGATAATTCAAATAACTAATACAAGGATTTACACTCTGTTAGTACAGAAGTACTCACTTAAAAATATCAATGTTTAACTTCATTTTCAAGTATGTTTTAGTGTGAAAAATTCATTAATTATTTTGATAACAAAAAAAGAAAACAATTTCCATGTTTGTTTCTTTTTTCGTTAGTTACAACATTCTTTGTTATTTAATGAGAAAGTAATTTATTGTTATGTAATGAAATCACGTTGGTAAATTGGATAGTTTTTCATTCTTTTCTTTTTCTAGAAATTAAGATTAATGTTAATGTTATGGTGTGAATTTTATGAACAGAAGTTCACAGATTGTTTAGTGAATGAATCTAATGCTAATCAATAGATGTTATGTAATAATAAGAAATGACTAAATAATGGCTACCCATTAGATCCGATTGTTATAATGTAAGCATTCTAGTTGATTTGACACAAAAGATAAGAATATTTTCTAGTAGAATAAGTTTTTTCTCCTAACAGAGTAACACATTTATATAGATGTTAAACATAAGAATAAGCATGAGCACATCTGTACTAATAAGGACTAGACACACATGACATCGATCACCACCCAGTGATCAATCAATTGTGATTACATCTCAGTCCTACAGGAGGTCGGTAGCGGCCCGGATAACCCAGTGGTAACGTCTCTGAATGTGAAGCTGGGTGACACGGGATCGAATCCATCAGGGAGCACCAGTTTCATTAAGATTACAGGTACACCTTGCTGACGAGTGTCGAGTAGCACGAAACTCGGGTCCATGGTTTCCTGTCAACTACCTCCAACCCACCATCTAATTTCACAATAGTGCCCACAGTTTCGAGTCACTTAGACTGGTGGTCACATTGCAACATGGTCGATAGCATTCGATCTACACTAATAAGGACTAGACACGCATGACATTGATCACCACCCAGTGATCAATCAATTGTGAACCATACAGTAAATACTTCATTTGCAAAATATTTGTCAATTGTCTGAGACGTAACTGTTACTTAATTTCCATATCAATCACCCTCTGTTCTCGTTCTCTTTTCTTCAATCTTCTCAACCTTCTGATGCCATGCATTTCACTCTCAATTGATGATACATATTATCGATATCAGTAGCACACGCCACAGCAGGATATTCAATAGAGAAATCCATCCAAATAATTGTAAAGCATCTTATAATTCTCACTTCCTATTCTTTTTACTAGTCTTCATTGATGAGAACTCTAGTAATATTATGATATGAGGTATATACACTGTTTTCAAATGGTTAATATCATTATGTTTTGGGTTTTCAGAAGCCGAAGAAAAACCACGAAATATATTAAATACATGTTAATTTTTTTAAACTTGTTGTTCACGCTTTGGTCAAGTTTGTCAATTCCAAAAGTCCTACCAAGTATCTTTCTTTGGAAGCCTTTATATGGTTTTAAATATGGTGACTATATTGAAATTCGTGACGAAATTTTTCAACGGTATTTAAATTATTGTATTGCAGATAGTTTAGACAAGTCTATCAAAGCATCTGCACTGATTACTTAAATCCTCACCATCCAGTACACTATAAGTGACACCATAAATATGTATTATAACCATATCGAATCCACATAATTATTCGATGTTCTCACTGCATAAATTAAATGGTCAAGTTAGTTTTTATTTAAGGAAGATCTTAATATCGTCTTTGACTACGCGCTGTATGCTACTTATGTCGATAGACGTAAGTAGTATGTAACACTAATTAGAAATGAAAAACCTGACAGAAGAAGGCTAAGAAGATTGAATTAAGGAAAACAGAAAGGAATTATGAATCGGAAGAATCATATAGGATGTGAAGCATGTTTGATGAAAGATTCGCAAATGAAGTATTTAATGTATGGTTCTCATATTTTACGAAGACATTCTGTAATTTTGTATTGAACAATAAATTAATTGCCCTCACCTAACTGTTCGTTCACTTCAAGTATACTTCAATATCTATTTAATGTACACTATAATTAACAGTGATGAAATTGTATTTGTTAAGAATATTGTCTTACTATATCATGTGTATGTGAGAATTCAAAGAAATAAATCATAATCAGGACTCAGTAGCTAAGTGGATAATGCGATGGCGTTTGAAGCGAATAGTACTGGGTTCGAGTCCTGGAGTGAACATCAACTTGGATGCAGGTACATCCATCTGACGAATCCTAAATAGGACGAAACGCGCGTCTTGGATTCCACTACTAGCAACTATCCACCTTTGCTTAAAAAGCTTGTGACTTAAGACTATATCGAGACAATCCGCACAGGATGCACATATGTCAACATGAGACTGATCAATTACGGTCCTAAATAACAATGGGAAGATACATGTAAAACAACCCCAAGTGAATAAAATATAATTTTCTTTCATTCTACAAATATCATTTTCACTAGTGTATCCAGGTTAGTTTAAAGAAAAAAGAATGAATATGACGTAAAATAAGTTCTCTTGAAGTTATAGATTTTGTTTGGTCGTGAGCGCTAACATGAACGACATTTTATTGTTTATTAAACTGTTCAGTTAGTTAATTGAACAGAAATGGTATCTAATTTAGTGACTAATCCTAATTTGCATTAATATACCT